GCCGGCCCCCCCCCACAATGAAGCAGCCGAGCGCCGTCAAGGTGTCAATCAATAAAGTGATCTTTTTTTTTTTTTTACCTCAAGTGGGGTGCAGTCCTACTGAATTTTAACATCTGAAGATCTTTTGAAGCATTGACAAGGTTGTATGCGTTCAGGCGATGGGATGGTGTCCTTGGAAGAGAAATGTGATGGCAACGGGTGGAGGGTGGGAAGACGGAAAGCTTCGAATTTGGGACACCGAGTTGGCCCGTTGTGTCCGGTCTGCTGACACCAACTCACAGGTGCATTGACACTCTGAGCATCACTGAAGCGCTGACACTATGACGTTACGCACCGTTGACTCTTGGAACAACTCTGATTGCAGATCTGCTCACTTAACTGGGTGGAGGCCACCAGAATCCTGGTGACCGGGCATGGGCGCCCCCATAACAGCGCCATTTGTTGGGATTGGAATTTCCCCTCACTCAGGCCTCTTTTGCACCTTTCAGGTAAAAGAACAATTCATTCAGCAGTCTATTTTCCCTGGGGTTCGATTGAACCACTTTTTACACCAAATAATACTCAAAAAGTATATATGATACAAGGGCGGTGTATGAATCCGTGGTCACTTGACTAGAGATGCGAGTATGCCATTTAAAATGAACACCAAATGAGAATTTTCGAATTCGAGTCAGAATGGGTCAAAACGTCGGCGCGTCACAGGGGAATGTTGAATGGTCACACGTGCGTTTGGATATTCGTGACATAGTGTATGTAGGAGTGTCACGTGCGTCGTGAGAAAAGCACGCTATTTTCGAGTGGGACACCCGGAATCGTTTGTGCTGTTTATGAAAAATTATGCTGGCTAATGAACATTAAATTCAATTGTTAAGCAGTTAGTCAATAAAGCCCAGCTAGGAAGCATATCAATTATCTTTGTCTTTGTTTCTTCACTGCTGGCCTCTCACACCATCACAGCAGCATATGGAGAATCGATAGGTTAGCTTAGGGCTATGTAGCTGGTACATCACAATACAGATTAAAGCAAGAAAAAAAACACCATGGATTGTATCCTTGGCCAGGGTACGATGAGGCATTGTGGAAGATGAATCAAGCTATTTTCAACTATAAAGGACAACCTTTTCCATAGGTTAACGCTGCTGGGTCAACACACTTCTGTTCACTCTGGTTCAGTAAATGAATATGTATTAAATAAGTGAGTAAGTGAAGCTTTACAAAGCGCTTTGGGCACAATATTGTCGATAAAGTGCTATAGAATTTTGCAATCATTTTGCATACCACAAGAGGGTGCCAGCATACTGCTAGTGGCTAACGGTGAGTCATTATTTTAAAAATCTGCTCCAAATGATCTTATCACTACGTCTCGTTCGCCATCTTATCAAGGTTCTGTAAATAGTGACGCTTGTTATGAGGTCACATTTTTCAACATTTGGAATCCAGACCTCTACCATGTAGCTTTCCGACAAGGTATTTTAATTATGACATATTTAAAATGCTCGCCAGTCGGAGCTCTCAAAGTTTCCCTTGAATGTCGCCATGAGTTTATATATATTTTTTTTTTTGCTTTTTTTTTTTTCCAGGTCATTCAAGTCGTATTCTGCACGTGTCCTTGAACAAGGTCGGGAGCCAGCTCTTCACTGCAGGTGCCGATCAGCGTCTTCATGTGTGGAACATGCCATTTCCCACATCTCAGCATTGTTAAGAACGTACGCTTAAAACATGCGGTCAACACATCACCATTGCTGCAACGCGGCAAATGCACAGTTCTCGTTCACACTTGCAGTCCACTGACAAAACCACCTTTGTGGCAAAAGACTCGCAGACTTCTAGCCCCTGAGAACCACCTTTTATTTTAACTATTAGTAGTAAATAAATAAATGCATCGGTGAAAATCTTAAATGGCTGATCAAGTGTGTTTACTGTATATAGCATTCTGGTTTGGTTCCCATAAAACAAACTTTCTTGATATTCATTTTGCGATATGTTAGTGTCGTGTTACCCGATTAACGGTTTACCACTGAATGGGAGTTTAAAGGTCTCCTCTTCTTTCAATTTACCGACCTCAAGAGGAAGCTGTGTCTCACTTGTGGGTGAGAAAACCACAAGAAAAACACAGTCATGAAGACTTCCAAAAAAAAAAGATGCATGATTTTTTTGTTTTAAATAGCCAGGCAGGATTGTGTCAAATTATCCAATTTGACGTAATTGGTCCCAAAATATATATTTACTTCAAATAATATATCTTTGTTTTTGCACTCTTTGCAGGGTGAACCCGAGGCGCGTGTGACGTCGTACAAGCGCTTTCGAACGTGGCTCATCCGCAAGCGCAGTCGCGAGAGTCCCGCTGCGAGTACGCCCTTGGCCACTGGGCAGCGCTGTCGACCCACTTTTAAGTTAGATGGAGTCTGTCAGAGGCTGGAGCTGGATTCTCCCTCGAGGCATCAGGAAACGGCCCAAAGAGCACAAGGTAGTCTCATGAATGTAGATTTGGTGTGTTCTGGTTAAATAAAATAAATAAATTAATGAATTTTAGGGGTCCTGAGCACCAATGGTATTTAGGCATCCTTAAACATGTGAATCAAAAATGTCAAGTTTTATTTTGCCTACACCATTTTGTAATTTAAAATGGGTGAAGCATATGGGTATGGGAAATGCGATCGCCACATCCTTCAAAACACAACGCATGAATAAGTCCAATGGATCCAGGCCCAATGTTGAACAAGAAGTCTTCCATTTTAGTTTAAAGCAGCCATTTTCAGGCAAATTTCCTCATAGGAGTTGCTCTAATATTTGCATAGGATGGCTGCTTCAACTAAATGATCCTCAGGAGGAAGCCGGTCGGTATCCTAGACAGATGGGTGACAGGAAAATACTGTTTTGGGGCAAATTCCACAGGTTTTACCCGACAAACTCTGATTAGGGAAAAGGGACTTGGTGACGACAGTGAGGACCCATTTATTTCTGCTTGTAGCTTTAATTATTATCGCGAAATATTTTTTTCCTTTCTTATTTGTAAAGCCTGTCATTTAAGTGCTCCACTGCATTTACAGAGCATTGGCTCAACATTTCAAACATACAAACTCAACTCAACTCAAATGTATTTATTGAGCACTTTCAAACAGCCATCGGTGCACACAAAGTGCTGTACATGGAGCAACTAACATATACAACAGTAAAGCAAAACAACAAAGGAGCAACCATGGTTTCCCCTGAAGCTGTGGGTAGCGTTTCGTGAGGCTTTTGTGTCATTGCACCAGATCACAGCTTTGAGGTTCATGCAAAATGTTTGTTATACATGGTTCAGTTCAACATGCAAATACATGCATTCTACTGAACAAAAGGAAGCTTGTGCAAACCCAACCACCCATTGCCAGTTAAATTCACGCCCTTCATGTACAAAGCGTAATCGTTATTTAATTATTTATTTCAATCAGAGTCCAGGCTGATTGTGTGTGACACCAACGCAACACCGAAGACACAATGCATCATTGCAAACCGCAGAAGATGTTCAGACATGTTCAATGCGCCAAAACAGGTGTGTTCATAGAACATAAGAAAAACAAAAACACCCGTGATTGCCTGATGAGAAAATATGTTTATTTTTAAATCATTTTTGCAGGAATGGATTTGGACTGCACATGAAAGTGGAGATGCACAATCAACTGGTACAGGCTGACTGTACTTTTACTTGGCATGAGACGACCGGATTTTAGTACTGTATTATTTATATTACATAGCATACTTTGTGCCAAGGATGGGCAACTTAAGTACTGGAGGAGCAACAATTTTTTATCAGTATTAATTGGGGGACACATAGGACCATGCACTCTCTAACCAGATATAGAACAAAAATGTCACTTTAAATATGGACAAAATATGTGCAAGTGCGCAAAATACCTGCTCTAAATATATTTCATTTTTCATAATACATGTCTCCTTTATAAAAGATCCACTATTCTTACCCAACAACAAAGGGTTGAAGCAAACAACAAAATAACTAAACAGTGACCGTGTCATCTGCTGGTGAATGGTGATCTTACAATTTAAAACTATACTGCACAACCTTTGCGGAAAATCCCCCAAATGTTTAAAAAAAATACAAATCAAGGGCCCACTCAAAGTGTGGGGGGCCACCAGTTGCTCATCCCTGCTCCATGCAATAAAGATCTGTTAGGGTGGTTCTGTTTATGACCAACAGGTGGCACTGTAGGGCTCTTCCTGCAGAGGCACACCTGTTGGTCATTGTGTCATTTGTTAGTGTTTCTGTTAAAAGGACTCCATGCCCGACCTGTCGAGATCGGGTCATTGTGTTTTGTCTTTGTGTCCGCCTTAGTTTGTATTTTTTGTTCAATACATTTTGTTCAGTCCACCCTGCCTCCATGCTTTTTGGGGTGCTACGTGACCACTTTGCAAAACCCTTCAAAGAATGACCCGAGCTCGACAGGTCGGGCAAAAAGTCCTTTTAACAGAAACACTAACTAATGACACAATGACCAACAGGTGTGCCACTGCAGGAAGAGCCCTACAGTGCCACCTGTTGGTCACAAACAGAACCACCCTAACAAGATCTTTATCCGATGCACATTCAGAAAAAGTCCAAAGTGATCCCAAGCCATTTTCGGTCCTGAATGTATCTTCAGCGAGTCCGCGAGCAGAGTCCGCACTCAAGTTGGCTGCACCATCGCTGGTAAACGACTACTGTAAGACTATTTATCTACTTTGTAGTTATTCTCTATTCATCCTTCATACATATTAATACTTAGGCTACCTACGCGCTTCCCTACATACCCCCGGTACTGACTGACCAACCGACGACTTAGTTACCTACCTACATACCAAGACACCTACTGACCAACTGATCACCTTGCCTACCGACCGACCACCCATCCCACCTACCAAGGTACCAACTGACTGACCTACTTACCTACCTACATTTCAGTGAACTTCCCATCTCCTCCCTCACAGACACGCATCTTTTAGACTGCAGCTGTACCGGCATCCTCGCATTAGCTCTGGACTCTTCTGTTTACATTTGGAATTCAGAAACTCGCTCTCTGCTCGGACGACTGGACCCGTGTCCCGAACCGGGTCGAGAGCGGCGCCAGACTGTTTCGTGCATACGCTGGAGTGCGGACGGCCGTGTTCTCAGTATCGGAACCAGGCGAGGGGTGGTACAGGTATGCACGTAACAGGACATGCTGGGGGCTGAGAGACCAAGTTGAATCAGCACTGCAATGTTTTTGTGTTGACTTCTCAGTTGTGGGACATTGAACAGAGGAAGAATGTGAGGTCACTGGTTTCATACCTATCCGTGGTTCGAGGTCTTTCTTGGAAACAGCAACTTCTCAGCAGGTAGCATTATCGGAAGCCCACCAGAGGTTTACCATCAAGGCTTTTCGATATCATTTGAACTTCACCACAGAGCTGCATCCAATTCTTGTTGATAGAATTAGCCTATACGTCTATATGTGGGGGTGGCATGGTTCAGGGGTGGAATGCTCGTCTCCCAACCCAGAGGTTGTGGGGTTTGATCCCTGGGCCCTTGTGACCATCTCAAAGGGTCCTTGAGCAAGATACTGAAGGCCCAGTTGCTCACAATGCTGTGGCATCAGTAG